CACCTCTTAAAGGTCCACATAGTCCCGTCTACTTCACTGCATTGAGAGCCCTGTTTTCAACACACTCAAACCACACATGAACCATAGCACCAGTTCTTGGTAAAGAAGGGGATGAAGAGATCTGTCAGGTGGGTACGAAGTGGATGTCTAGGTTGGAAAGAACTGAACATGGGTATGGACAGGTGTGGAAACCTCACTAACTACTTTGTTTTTGGAAAACCAACACCTCTGGCCTCTAACCCTACAGATAAATGGAAGGGTGGTTTGAGTTCATTTGTTAGTTGGGGTTTTAGCCCCTAGCAACTGGAGATAGGGTACAAGGCCCCTAAGCTGTTATTACTGGCTTGAGTAACCATATGAACACCAGGCACCTGATTATGAAGATGGCTGGCTGATTTTAAAACATCAATTTGTTTTCAGAAGTCTTCGTTAAATGGGATATTTATAAATTTGAGGATGATGACTTGTGTATTAGTCTGGGTACTCTCTGTAACAGAAGGAAAACCGATTTGGGAAGTAGGAACAGAGGAAGCAGGGAGAAGAGCCTGTCAAAACCTGAGGGGGAACGTTTTCTTAATTTGCCTGCATTACCTTCTTTTAAAAAACAAACCAACTACTAAGAGTTGTGGGAATTTGATGAAAATGAATTTTTATTCTTAGTAGTAAATCTTGGGAAACATAAGTATTTTATAGTTGACCCCCGCCCCCAGGCACCCACACCTCATCTTTTAAAGGACAAAATAACCCTTCCATCTAGAATGTGTTGCTTAGAACAGGGCCTGCTGGCATGTCTGTGATCTCAGCTACACTGGAAACGAAGGTGGGAGGTAGCCAAGTCCAGAGACTCCCTGGGCCACAGAGGAGTTCGAGACCCGCCTGAGTAACTTAACAAGAAAAGGCTTGAGGTATAACTTTGTGTCGGAGTTCTTGTCTCACATGTGGGAAGGAAGCCCTGCAATCCACCTCTTCCCCTACATACTGTCAAAAGTAGGCTTTGGGCGAAATGTCTCTCTTCTCAGTAGTCTTTGCTCCGGAAGAAGTTATTCTGAGATCAGCTGCTGGCCCAAAGGTGGATTCCCTTTCCACAGCTATTCATTCCGTCTCTCCTTTGGAAGCTGGCGGTCACTTTTGGGACTTGCTCCTTAGGTCTGTTCCTCAGAGCTTCCTGTGACCTGTGTGTTGATGCCTGACTTCCCAATCCTAATCCAAATATGTTTCCTTCACTTGCTGGCCTGATGGATATCCATCCCTCTTGGGTGAAACACGGGTGCCTCAAACCCACACGCTCAAAACTTCTCCCATTCATTCTTGCTCGTATACAATTCATTTCTGTCTTGGTTGGAGGAATCAGCATCCCTGAGTTACCCACACACAACCACGGGCTCCCAAGTCCTAATCTACCCCAGAGTTTCTTTCCCCTTCTTTTCTTCCCTCCTTCCCAAAGCTGCTGACCTTTTGAGCTCTTTCTGGATTGTTATGAATGGTCTCCATGTCTCTGCTGGTCTTCTCCACTCCAAGATTCCCTCATCCACCCTTCACAGGTGTCGTACACAATCCACCATCTCTTTCTTGCCTTGACTCTTTCTGGGGCACCCCAATTCCTAGCTCCTCCCATTAGTGGGCAAATCCCCTAGCTAACTTCACTCGCTGTACATGTTTTCCTCCTGTCTTGCAGGCCCCAGCTCCTTCGTCTCTGTTGGCGCTCCCTCCGCTACTCACCCTCTAAGAGCTGCCAGACCCAGAGGGTATTTCTCTGCCCTTTGCTCCTTTCTGGTGACTCCTCCTCCTTAGGTGACGTCATCCCGGTCTCAACTCATAGTAACATCTGTACACAGATGGCTCCCAAGTTTATGTCTACAGCCAGCTAGCCATTGTTTCAAGCTATAGGTTCAGAGATCTAACTGCCTCCCTGACATCTTCCCTTGGATTTTGTTCTAGTTTCCTTTCTGTTGCTATGACAACCACCCTGACCAAAAGCAACTTAGAGAAAGAAAGGGTCTATTTTATCTTGCACTTCCAAGTCATAGTTCATCATTGAGGGACGTGAGCCACCACAACTTAATCTTTGCAGAGTTGTCCCTGCAAACCGTATCACTAGTGCTCATTCACATGACATCTGAACTTTCTATTCCTTTCTTTCTTTTTGACTTGAACCATCCCAAAGTCAGGGATACAGGCTGGGAAAATTTGGTCTACAACTCTGTAGGAAGTTTGTTTCATTATAGTGTCTTTGCATGATTACGTCAAGTATTGCAAGATGACTGTAAGAAATCGGGGCTAGTATCCTGGGTCTGCAGAGTTTTAGAGTAAGGTGGCCAGAGGGGACACCAAGTGGTTTCTCAAAGTCAGATGATGTCTGGTGTCAGACGATGGAGTTGTATAGTCCTTCGGTTTGGGGTAAGGGTGGCTATTATAAGGCAGTGCTGTGCCCACAAATGGATGAATTACAGGTGGGCATTTAATGCAGGTACTGACAGGGATCTCAATGGTCATGGAAGGTCAAACTTCATCTTCTCTAGAAACTGTCAAAGACCAGAAACACTCATCAGCACTAGCCAGTTGGTCTGCCTTCCTTTCCTTTCCCCTTCTTCCTTTCTCGGCCTTCCTTCCTTCCTTCCTTCCTTCCCTCTCCCCTTCCCCCTTCTTTCCCCTTTTTCCTTCCCCCTCCATCTCTGTCTGCCTTTCACAAGCTCTTGCTACGTAGCCAAGGCCAGCCTAAGGACTGCCATTCTTTTATGTTAGTTTCCCAGGTGATGGGATTACAGGCATGAACAACTGTATCCAGTGTTTACTGGTCTTTCACATTGTGAGAAACACCAGCTTGTCAATAAGTACCTTTAACATCCTTGATCTCTGAGGAAGAGTGACCAATGGCACACGCAATGGAACCTAAATGGTGCACCTTCATTTGTTTTAGCTTTCTTAATAGAACCAGAATTGTGCCACCAATAGATTATCAGTGCTGGAGCAATAATGGGTGACCAGGCATCTTGTTTCCTATGAGGAAAACACTTCCTTCTTCCCTTACATTTTTTGCTGAATTATAGACTTACACAGCATGTCTGAAATTCAGAAGTCATCTGACTTTAGCTTATGTGCCATACAGGTAGACACAGGGTCTTCAGCAAGGCTGTGAACTGGTGAAACTTGGTTTGACTGTCCATTTCATTCACCTTCCCCAGCAAGATTCATCTTCCTAAAGAGAGCAACAGAACAGAACGCCCAATGAATGGCCTTTAAAAACATTTTTATTATATTTTTATTTGTTTATTTTGTGTGCATGTATATATATATGAGTGTGTGTGTAATAGTGCATATGCCATGACACATATAGAGGTCAGGGGACATTGATTGTGGAAATCACTTCCCACTTACCACGTGGGTCCCCAGATTTGAACTTAAGTCATCAGGCTTGGCATCAGGTACCATTACCCAGTGATCCATCTTCTGACCCTGATGAACATGTTATGGAGATTTTAGAGGGATGCAAAGTATCTGGTTCAGTGCTGAACCAATTGAAATACAAAAGACACTGAGAAAATGTCAAGCTCTGAGAGGAGAAGAAATTTGCAGGCATGAGTAGGGAGAGTGAATGTTTTGGTGCATCTAAGTTGAATTTGTTGTATTGGATTTGCCAATGGACCTGGCTTCAATCAGAGGAAGATGTCTGGGATCCAAATAGATTATTTCATCTTGGCATTAGGGTGCTCAAGGAGGGACATGGGGTAGGGATACTACAGTGCAAGTAGTGGCTGGTTGGTGTGGACAAGAAAGAAGGGAGGTGGGAGGCGGAGCTTGATTTTGGAGTCCTTACTCACTTGAGACACCAGGTTTCGGTGGGGAAGCTTTGCTGGGAGCCATTGGTGAGATTCACACTCAGACACAGCCAGGTCAGGGACAGTGAGGAGTGAGAGCAGAACTCCACTCTCCTGCACCCCGCTCCACCACACTGGAATTCTGTGCCTGTGGTTCTGTGTCTCTTCCTCGTTTCCTGCCTCAGCTCTGCTTCCCTTTTCCTTTCCCCTGCCCTCTTCCCCTTCCTCTTTTAGAGTCATACACCACTCTGCAGTGCCTTCAGAGGTACACAGTGGATAACAAATATTCAGGACTGGGCTCTATTTCACGGTATACAACAGGAATGCAATAAAAACATGTAAATGTCAGGCATCCAAAGATGCTTAAAGCCTAACAGTTCATGCCAGCTGTCAGAACTCGGGCTGAGGATGTTGAGACACTGTCTGGCTTTATGTAATATCCCAGGAACAATGGACCATTTGCAGCATGTACTGCAAATAGACACTCTTCTATCCAGCATCTCTTGAGAGCTCTTCTGGAAAACCCCACACTCCAAGAAGCAAGTGACCTGGCTTGCATCTGTCTTTTATGTATCATTAGAAAAGGGATTTGGAGACTTTCTGTTTCCTACATTCTTTCTGTTCTCTTCCTTTGTGTTTTTTTTTTCTTTCTTAATTTATTTACCCTTCTTTCTGGAAACACTTCTGCTCCTCCATTTTTGGATCCAGTTTGGCAAACTGTCCTGTTGTAGAATATTATTTTAGCAGGGCAAAGATGTGGTACATTTGTTTATGTTGCGGAATGTTACTTTAACTGGGTAGAGGTGCGTGACACTTGCTTGTGCTATATTTGTTTAACGATGTAAGGATGTGTTACGCTTGTTTGTGCAGCATCTGTTTAATTATGTAAAGATGTGTTTCATGGTTTCACCTTGCCTGCCTAAGGCTCATGATTGGTTTACTAAAGAGCCAAACATCCAATAGCTAGGCAGAGAGAGGCGAGGCAGGACTGGCGGGCAGAGAGGACGAATAGGAGAGAATGAGGAAGAGGGAGGAGAGAACAAGGGAGAAGGAGGGAGGCACACCTGGGACAAGATGCCAGGCAGTTGCCAGCAGACACAAGGAGCAGAGAAAGTAAGATACAGAGAAGGAAAGAAAAGTAATAAGCCCAAGGAAAGAAAAGTAACAAGCCCCGAGGCAAAAAGGTAGATACAGAGAAACCGTTTAATTTAAGTGAAAAGAGCCAGCCAGAAACAAGCCTAAGCTAGGCCCATCACTCAAAACTAATAAGAAGTCTCTATGTCGTGATTTGGGAGCTGATTGGTGGCCCCAAAGAAAACGCCTGTCCCCTTTGCCTACTGCAGTTCGCATTTTTCTCCATCTTCCACCAACTTTCAGCCTTGGCATGGCTCTTCACCATTGATGATTTTCCTGGTCTGCTTCTCCTTGGCTATGCAGGCCTACAAAGGCTCTGAGGATGGCATAATAATACATTATGCTGCTACCTTAAATTGTTCTGGCCCCTTTAATTCATTTTCTCTTGTCATATTTTTTCCATCTGCAGAAGGGAGATACATGTCAGTTTTTCTCTCATTACACAACAAAACACTACAAATTTACTAGTTTCAAAAAAAAAAAAGAAAAGTTAGTTCAACCAGTAAAGTGCTTCCTGTGCAAGCATGAGGACCTGAGTTCAGTCTCCAGCACCCACATGAAAGCTGTTGCTAATACTATAGTCTGTGCCTGTAATTCCAGCTCCAGGGAGGTGGAGACAGCGGGATTCTCCGGGCTTGTTTGTCAGTCAGTCTTAACTGGATTTGTGAGCTCCAGGTTCAGTAGCAGACTCTGTCTCAAAACTAAACCTGGGCATGATAGAGGAAGATACCTAATGCCAACCTCTGGCCTCCAAGTGTACACAAACACACACACACACACACACACACACACACACACACACACACACGAACACATACGCATGAAGACACTGCTTACCGTCATAGTTCCTGTGTGTCTGAAGTAGGGTGTAGCTTTTTGGAGTCCTCTGTTTTAGCATCTTATCTGAAAAGCTCAGTCAATTCATCATTTGGGGTTACAGTCTCAGCTCCAGGTGAACCCCAGGGAATGGTTACGATCAAGTCTCCCTAGTTGTCAGCAGAATTCAGCTCCCTTCCATCTGTGTGACTAAGGGGTCTCAGTTTCTAACCAGGTCTTGGATAAGGCATCCTTAGCTCCTTGTCATGTGGGCATCCTAACACAGCTTTCTAGTTCCCCAATGCCAGCAAGCTGCCGAGTCTCCCAGAAAGACTGTATAACCCACTCTCTGTGGCAACATCCTCACTGTCAGTGCCATATTCCATCAGTAGGCAGCAAGTCACAGGTTCCACCCACACCCAAGGGGAGGAGATGACACAGGACATGAACACAGGAGGTGGGGACTACTGGGGGCCATCTTAGAATCTGTTACGCAGAGGCACGGCTTGTGGGAAAAATATTCCACAAAACCCATAAAAACTGTATTAATATGGCTCTCGAGTCTTATGAGAGGACTCTGTATAGCGGCTAACACCAAGAAAATCTTTTTCTTTGTCTCTCCCCACATCCTGGGATGTAGGTGTTACTTCTAAAAATGGCTTCTTTTCCTGTTCTGCCGTAGACATCTCATCAGCTTCTCTGGATGAGAAAGTCAGCAGGAACAGATTGTTTGGTCTTCGCTTTTGGCTGGACTGACTCAGTCCTGTGGGTAGCTCTCTAGGTCATTGTTAGAAATCCCTCAGTTCTGGAGGAGCCAGGTATGTGTACCGTCTGGGATGACATCCGCGGACAAGATGCCACCAAACCTTTTTACAGGGGAGACATTTGCACAGGTATAAGGGTTACTTTTTAGAAGAGCTTCCCAGGATGTGCCTAGACCGCTAATGAGTCCAGCTCCCTAAACAGATTGGTGGGGGCAGTTGCAGTAGAGGGGGAGGGTTCAAGCATTATCAGTGTGCTTTTGGCTTGATCTGTATGTGACTCATGTTTACAGATTGTCTGCCCAATTAACGCTGAGGGTTCACCCCCTACACACACACACACACACACACACACACACACACACACACACACACACACACTAGTGTGCTGTTTACACATTCCTTTAAATATGAAAGATACCCTTTACTGTATAGAATACTACAAATGGGGATATACATATATATTCATACATATTATATGTGTAGGTATATATATTCATAATTTATATAAATAACTGAGCAGTATAACATTTCTTTAAAATAATATAAGCACTCTGAGAATATAGTTCATATCACTCCGGGGATATTTTAGAGTACATGTGTAGCATGTACCAACCCTTCACAGTACCCAAAATATAGACAAATGGGGGGGTATGCAAACAAATTTGAGTTGAGAGATGTTGTCAAACCTGATCAGCTGTTTCCTGGGGATAGAGCCCCAGCGAGGGGATTGTGGAGAGCCCTAGCGAATAAGGTCAGCAGATATTTAGAACCTGAATCCTGAGTCCCAAGAAAGGCACCAGGTTCCGGAACGCCAGTGAGATTTGACTTCCTAGGATTTCCAGGAAGGCGTTGCTCAGAGTCCAGTAACTAGGAAGCCGCTAAGCCACTCAAAGTCGGGGATCAACATCCTCGGAGGGGCGCTAGGACCCAGGCACTCGCTGGCCTTGGGACCTTTGGAGGAGTGAAGGCAGTGGAGGCTCAGATTGGCAGGCAGAGTCGCTTGAAGCGACCAGACCCTTCTCGCGCTGGAGCAAGCAAGGCGCAAGGCGCATGGTGCATGGGGCACAGCAGCTGGGTGCGCTCCATGAGTGGCTGCAACCAGGGGCACGTTGTCGGGACGGTAGCAGGTGATCGCAGCGGGCATGGACCAGCAGCAGAGCACGCGCCAGGTGAGCCCTGCACGCGTCTGCAGAGAGCTATCCCAGGGATCAGGCACAAGCTTGGAATCCTCCCCGGACCTGGCTTTGAACCCCAGGTGCTGCGATAGCCTTCCTTTCCCTCCAGTCCCTCCCTCCACGTTTGGTACCTGGGTCCCCGTCTTCCTTCCTAGGGAGGTACCTGGAGCGCCTTAAGATGCCCGTGTTGCAATTTCTAATATTTAGCGATAATCCCTGCACACGGCTCTACGCCTGGCCTGGCTGCGATCATTGCTTCCCTGCACTGGCCTGACTGTCACCTCCTGTTGCGCGCGCTGTTCCCACGCTCCCTCATTTCGCGGGTGTGGGGCCTCTGGCTGTCCGAATGTGTTTCCAGTGGCTACAAGCTTAGCTTCTTTTCCAGGAAGCGAGGCACAGCAGCTTTAGTCCCCGGGTGCGGGTGCGGGTGTAGGTGCGGGTACAGGTGCCGATACAGGTAGAGGCGCAGGTGTGGGTGCGTGCATGTGTGCCTGGCGCCTCCTGCTGTCCCGGATCCAGTGCAATTTCCTGCATAGGTGCTCCCGAGGAAGGAGGATCCCCATCCTGCCAGGTGTGAGAAGACACGTGTGTACCTGGGAGGGAAGCAGGGGTACCCGGGAGAGAAGCAGCTGCTTGAGAGGGTCTCTGTGTCCTGGGGTCACAGAGAAGTAACCAAGAGCAGGGTGAAGGAAGGCGGGGCTTGGTCCAAGGCTAAGTGGGTATAGCTGCACTGAACTTGGGAGCATTTTGAGAAGGAGTTAACAGTTAACTGAAACACACTTAGTTGTTATTGGGAGAGGTGAGAGTTGCACCAGCCTTAAAAAAAAACCGTCTTACTAAAGGGTCTTAACCTCCTGTTGTCTTCTAATACCTGTAGGAGTACCTGTGACGGTCTACAAAGTTTCTGGCACCAGCTGTACACTGGCTTACCTGTTCTAGGTTGAGGGCTCTAGGCAAACACCCCTCAGGGCTTCTGCTGCGAGCTGCTGGGACCAAGGACCTTCCTTATAATCATTAAGTTTGAACTCTGAGTCTCCCCTCAGTGCATGGGGGCGGGGGGGGGGGGGGGGGGGGGGGGCGGCGTTTGGCATGCCTGCTTTGAAGGTCCTTTGACAGTCTGAAGTTTTAACTTCCAGTGCCTCTCTAAGACAGCCTGCCTCCAAACTGTGTTGGGAGACAGTCAACAAAAACATTTACCCAGGGTGCCAGGGGAGGTGAGAGGCAGAGGACCCGCCCTCTAAGGTTTTATAATCTGCCAGTTTGCCATGGACAGTTCTTGCTTGACTGCCCTCCTGACCTTGAATAGGCTGTTTTCATTTTGCAGAGGCTGGGTTTTCCAAGAAGTAGAAACTGAAGAATGATAATTCACCCGCGGTGGGAAGAACAGGGATGGGAAACAGGAGCTGTGTGGGGCTAATCAGCTGTGAACAAAACAGGCCACGTGTGCTGCCACAAAGGCTGAAAGGGAGCCCTCAGTCCCGGGGTTCTCTCTGACAGGAGTTTGCCAGATTCAGAGACAGCCGATCCGTGTCTTCTGTTCTTTGCAGTCTTGCTACAGTTTGTGCTTAAGTTCCGAAAAAGCATTTATAGTCTGAAGAGACACCGGGTGAGTGTGGATTAGTTGAATTTTGATTCCAGATGTAAAGTCACAGAAATCTTTCATGCTTATGGTCTGGGGAAATAAACTCAAGTGATGTCGTAGTGCTCAGAACACACTGGGTTGAACCTTACAGAAAGGTCTGGCTGAGCTTTGAATATGGCTACATCCCGCTGAAAAGATCCAGTCTTCACTGTAAGACCCACGTCCTGGCCACCCTCTCTTGGGCATGAGGAGAGAGGCCCACACTTGGCTCCTGGAGAGAAGAAGGCACAGTGTGCTGTGTGTCTCACGGAGGGGGCGTGTGTATGTGTGTGAGCCTTCAGTAACATCTGATAAATACAGTTTACTTACCTGGGAATGACTCAGTTAATATTAACTTCTCAGAAAGCAGTTTATCAGTTCGGCAATGAAACAATGAAATTCTCTTTAGAAGCAACATTAAATATTGGAATGCCCAGCATCACCAGAGCTTAGTGGTAAGCACAACTTTGAGAAAAACAGTCACTAGCCTTTTTCATTTTATTTCAGGATGAGAAATAAACAGAATGATTTATAGGTTTTTTTAACTAGAGAATTTTTATAGAAATAAAAGAGCCAAAGTAAATACAAGTCAAACCACAGGAAATCTTGCTCCTCCAGGTTGTCAGAGCATCACGGGATGTGAATATTGATTATGTACCTGCACTATGTGCATTGTCCTGGACGCTTTCAGCAGGGTCTCAGGGGACGCACTTAGCTTGGTAAGAGACCCAAAGTTTTTTGGCTTTTTTTCCCCCGATATCCCTCAGCTAGTGGGTGGGTGAACTGGCCCAGCTAGCTGGGTTCTGTTACAAAGATCCAACCGAGCACAATGAAAAAGGGAATAAAAAAGAAAAGGAGCCAGAAAGTGTAGAGGCAATTGATATGCCTCAGTGCACTTAAGTTAAAACATCTTCATCTTTGATTTTCTTGTTTTTATCAAAATGACATAAGCATTTTACGCCAGTGAAAAGACTGAATCCTTTATTACTATATAGATCTGAGTTGGGTGTGAACCATCATTTATTAAATCAATTCCCAGTGCACTGGGCACTTGGATTACTTAAACACATATATTATTAGCATTGTGGACTTTTCATGTGTGTATCTATTCAGCTATTTCTAGTAAGTCAGTTCCTAGTGGTGGGATTGACATGTGAGAAAGCACGGTTACTATTAGATACAGACTTCCTACTACAGACTAATTGACTTGCCTTGACAAACTTGGCACCTTGGCTTCAGTTCTTAGCTGATGTGGTTTGGATTTTGGTGAATCATTTGATCTGAAGGGATCTCAGGTGTATTATCTATGACCTATGGGTTGTAGGGCTCATTGGTTGCCAAAGTCTCTAAGATTATGCAAATATATGCAATTGGAGGTTGAACAAATGAAATAGTCTGTATATGATTATATTTTACACACAGAAGTGACAGTTTCATTGTCTATTTTTTATAAGTTCATACATGAGTACTACATTTATATCACTTTTCTCTTCTCCAATTCCTCCTCTGTTCCCACTAACCCTTCTTGAATTTATGACTTCTTTGTCTACTTCATATATGTGCATACACACACACACACACACACACACACACACACACACACACACACACGCGCGCGCGCGCGCGCACACACACACACAATTTATATTGAGTCCAATTCGTGTTGCCTGTATGTACTTTCTTTAGGGCTGACCACGGAAAAGTGGAAACCAGTCAGGGGTGTGTCCCCGAAGAACACTGATTCTTCCTCTCTCGATGGTCATTCATTGCCTGTAGCTCTTCATCTAGTGGTAGGGCCTTGTTAAATATTTCATCATCCACGTTGGCATGTCAACTAGTTTGGTCTTGTGCAAGCACTCGTATTGTTAAGAGTCACGGGTATAGTTTCCCTGACACATCTAGAAGATACCGTCTTGTAGTGGTGGGCACTCATTCGGGTGCTCAGGGCCTTGAACTCTTGCAGTTCTTCTGGGATGTTCCCTGAGCCGGAGATGTAGGGATTGCAGTGTAGATGTCCCAGTTGGGGCCTTTTGACCGGTTGCGAGTGTCTTCAGCAGCCTCAGTAGCTGCTAAAAGAAGCTTCTTTGGTAAGGAGAACTGCACTTACCTATGGATGTAAGGATGAGTATTTAGAATACAGTTGTTGGAGGCTATATCAGTTTAGGAAAATGGCAGTAGTATGTCCTCTGCGATCTATGACTTCTCCTGCCATGTGTTCTTGGCTAGGTTTGCAGTACCAGGAGTGAGTTTCCTCTCACTGAGCAGGCCCTAAGTCCAATGAGATAGCTGTTGGTTACCTCTAAGATATAAACATCACTAGTGTGCCAGTGGCAATATTTTGCTCAAATAATAATTGAACATGGACTCACTTGATATGACATGAACTCCTAGCACTCTGGTGCCCTGGCTTTTGTGAGGTAGATTTGTATGTCAGAAGTGGCTGTGCTGTTGTTATAACTCAACCATGCAATTTCAGTGGATTAAATTAAATAAATGCGTCTCACATTTTATGTCCAAAGTAGGTTAACAGAGTGCTTGATTCAGGCAGTCTCTCAGAAAACCAGGCTGGCGGGAGCTCTGCCACCTTGTAACTCTACTACCTGGATCACGTGGTCTTAGCGGTCCCATGGCAGGGAAGAAGTCAGTCATGGTAGAAAATTAACAACTGCCTTTAAATGTCTCAGCTCAAGAACGAAGCTTAGCTCTTCTATTTTGTTTCTGTGCTTTGGTCAGAAGGAGTTGCATTGACTTACTCAGATACATGGGCATAGAGAGTGTTATCTTCCTATATGATGATGAAGAAGGAAGAGGAAGAAAGAAAAGGAGGAGGAGGAGGAAAGAAGAGGGAGAAGAGGGAGGAGGAGGAAGAGGAGGAGGAGGAGGAGGAGGAGGAGGAGGAGGAGGAGGAGGAGGAGGAGGAGGAAACACACAATCTGGTCTAGATCAGTGTGTTAGGGCAGATGTAACAAAGTATCAAAGGCTTACAAAGGAGAAATCGGATCCTTCACAGACATTCAGATCAAGGTCCCAGCAGGACTGCTTCTCTGAGGACCTCACTTCTGGCTTCCATACAGCCCTGCCCCGCTTTGTCTTTAGTCTTCTCTCTGCATAACTGCCTTCCGATCTCTTCTCACGAAGGCACCAGTCACACTGGATTAAGGCCCATGCTAATAACTCCATTTAACACTAATTCCTTTTTAAAGACCCTGCCTCCAAATGTAGTCACCTGCTGAAGTACTTAGGGGTTAGGACTTCAGTAAACTGGGGGCATTGCAGTTCAGACCACAGTACACTGTTTCTGTTAAATAACAAGTAATGAGATATAGTCACTCCGTTTTTATTGGAGGAGTCCTGTAAATTTCTAAAATTTATTTATAGAATTATTTTCCTCTTTACATCTCACCCATCTCCCTGATCCCCTGCCCTCACATTTTGCCACAAAAAGCATAGTTTTCTCAGTTTTCTGGGTATTATTTAAAGGAACTTGATGTCAATAGATGCATCAAATTCCTTTTATTAATGGTGGTAGCAACTGTGTACATGCATGGTGAAGGGAAATCAAAACTGAAATCGTGGACAGTCCGAGAGCCTTCCTATAAGACCACAGATAATGTGAACACTGCATTTCTGGACATGACCCTGTCCAGAAAGCTAAGTAAGGACAGTGGCGAAGCTCGCTCTGTCTTGGGGACTGATCACCAGCATGAATCTGTGACCACGGTGCTGGCTGGCAGCATCTGATACATGGCTACTAGCCAGGCAGTAGCTGAAATGGATTTGTCATTGTCTGCGAATGTGTAGGTAGTTTTAGCTTTTTTGTTTTCAAATTTTCTTTCAAGGGGATGCACTGCTGATTAATTGCTGATGAGTTAATTTCAAAATGTTCTCCTATAGTTTGACATTCAAACTAAAAGTCATTGTTTATACAGAGAGTCAAGGAAATAGAACAGGGGGCATAAATTTGATATTGATGAAGTAAATATTTGTCAGTGAAGGAATGATGCAATATCAGCTTTGCTTTCTAGTCTGTTTTGCAAAGTACAAGCTTTTAAGAAAGGCAATCCCCAAGCACATATGGCTAGATTTTCGCTATTGAGGATTATCTATTAAATGTCAAGTATCCAACCTGAAGGCAGGAGAAATTACCTAACCCACTGGGGTAGATGAAAATAATCAAGAAATGGGAAGCCAGTGGGATTGATTCTTATATCCTGCAGGACTGGCCTTAGGCGGTCATATCGTTTAATAGACAGCAAGGATGTTTCTTAGTGATACAAGAGTGATTGTATTTTGTGTACCCATGCGCCTTAGAGGTGATGGAATCTAACAGCAGTGGCAAGAATTATAACCAGAGCCCCTGTCTCACAAGCTGTGTCCCTTTCCCTCGACACACCAATGTCTATGTTCTCTGGCATGGTGTTGTCTGGTCTCAGCTTTCTGACTTGTGACAGTCACTTAACGTGACCCAGAACTGAGTGTCTCTTTAGGAATGAGGTACAGAAAGTCTTAATCTATTTGTACTACTATAACAAAATGTCCAAGTTTGGAAATTTTATAAACATTGAAATTGTATTTCCCATAGTGCTGTAAGATTAGAAAAATCTAAGATCAAAACATCAACAGGTTGCATCTTCTGATGAGGACTGCTGTCTGCTTCCAAGGTGGCATTTTTTTTTTTTTTTTTTTTTTCCATGTCCTCTGGGGAAGGAGTGCCATGTCCTCACATAGTAGAAGGGACAAAAAAGGTGAAAAGTGACATAGTTTCCTCTGAAAACCCTTTTAATAACTGCAATCAATCCATTCATGAGGGTGGAGCCTCACAAAGGGCCCACTTCCCTATATTGTTGCTTTTGGGATTAATTTCTAAAACATACATTTTGAGGGATACATTCAGACTATACCATTTTCCCTTTGGTCTCCAAAATTCCTGTCCTTCTCACATATAAAATCTTATTCCATCCCAATAGCCCACAAATCATAATTCATCTGGCACCAACTCAAAAGTCCAAAGTCCAGAGTCTTATCTGAATCGCTTCTGAATGAGACTCTAAGCAAGACTAATCCTAAAGCAAATTACCCTCCAGCCACAGGCCTGTGAAATCAAACAAGTCATACAGTAGAGATAATCCCATTGTGTGTGTATATATTAGACTGTTTTCTATTGTTGTCGCTGAATACCCAAGATTGGGTAATTTACAAAGAAAATAAATTCATTTTTTTCAAAGAAATTTAGTTAGTTCATGTGTGTGAGTGTTTGCCTGCATCTATAATGAGTCCTTTCTGCAGGCCTGGTGCCCACAGAGGCTGGATTTCCTGGAACTGGAGTTATGGACATGTGGGTGCTGGGAACCGAACCCTGGTCTTCTTCAATAGCTGCAAGTGTTCTTAACTGCTGAGCCCCAGAAATATATTTCTTACAACCTAGCCGAGAGTCTTGGGATCCATCTTACCCACCGTGGCTCCAAGAAGCATTTCCATGGTTGGGGACTCTGCAGCCACTGCAACCTCACCTCTCTGCTCTGCATCCCCTTGTTCAGGAACTCCGTGGTGGCTCTGCTTCTGCCACAAATGTTTACTGGGGCCCTCCCTGCTTGATGGAGCCTTTGGCTACATGGCTCATCTTCTGAATGTATGCAGCATTAATACCAAGTGAACATTACCAAGGTTTTCTGTCTCTGCCCTTGAGCAGTGGCCATTACGTCATCTGGACCTACTTCATCTGGGCCTCATGAATGGTTTTGCCAGAGAAAGACCTTAGGTGGACCCCAGGCACCAGCCCACCCCATGAAAGCTTTCTTTGTGGAGTTCTGGTCTCCTATGATGGAATTGTGGCTTGATAAAAAGAGGAGGAGAGGCATCCTCTGGTATCCCTGCCATCTTGCCCTCCACTACGCAATGATACAGCAAGAGGGTCCTCACCAGACCAAGCAGTGCCAGCACCATGCTTTTAAATTTCCTGGCCTCCAAGAACCATGAACCAGCAGCAAACCTTGGTGGCATCCACATGATGCTAAGCCTGCGAGAGAACGGGGGTTGAAAAGAATAAAAAGGCTAGTCCTCTAGCACGCATATGTCTATGGAAGGTCTGTGGAGACACATTCCCTAGAAGGAAGGTGACTTACCAAATGGCTGCACCTCTCTAGGAGGTCACGTGGGTTATAAATAAGAAAGAAATGATTTCTCTAACACCTGTTTTCTACTTCTACTTAGAAGTCTCTAAAGAAAATTCTGTATCAGTTCTTGTTTGTTTGCACTACAGCATTTTGGAGAGTTGGTGAGTCGTGCTGACCCTGTCCCTGCTGGTGACGGAATGATATGAGGAAGACTTGAGATGAACCGTATTGACACAGAACTCTTTGTCAGAGGGCCCATTGCCCAGGATTTCTGTCCAAAGAGAACCATTTGTGGCACTCGAAAGTTTTCAAGTCTTCAAGGGAAAACTCAGTTTTACGCTAGAACAGCACTTTCCGAGGGACAGTGGCCACTAGAGCGTGTTCACCGTCTGTCTTTCATTGGGTGGATTTTGCCATCTAAGGGCACTTGGGATCTTGTGTCATGGCAGGCACTCAGAGTTCTCGTGGTGCTGCTTCTCCTGTTGTGACCGCAACTTCCGTTAGAAAGGTCACAGTTCACCGCGGATCCTTGCAAGAGCAGTAGAGATCCCACGGGCTACAAGAAAAGCGTGAGGGGCGGGGATAAACGGGACAGTGACAGCAGGGGAAGGGAGCTGTGCTTGGAGGAAGGGTGAAGCGTGTGTCACAGCACAGGGGGTCAGCAGTGACATTGTCCGGCGACAGCACGCACCACGCACGGACCAGGCTCTGTGTCTGTTCCAGGCACTGCGTGGTAACCTGAGAGCTAAGGCCTTAATGGGCTGCCACTCACTTCCAGCCCAGTTCAATAGGTACGATGTGGGGTAAAATGAAGCCTCCAGGAAAAGGATGGAGGGGAAGAGGCTCGGGATGCTGTTATCTGATCCCACTTGCCTTAGACGGCCTCTTGCCTCAGCCCAGGTATAGCTGCGTCACCCTGTCCTCTCCAGTCCCTTCCCCTCCCTTTGGAGGGACTTACCCAGACCGTGGGATCTCTTCTGCCTCCACCGCTGTCCATGGCGGTTGAAATCTGGAGACCTATGGGAATATGCATAGCCGGAAAGAACACAGGCAGCTGGGACAGTTATGTCCCACTCTATCCTCTTCTCAGTACAAGGTTCAGACAACAGATAATGAGGAAGCATCCCGTTAGGTTTGACCTTAAAGTGTGAGGAGAAGGTCAGGAAGGAAAGAGACTCAGGTGACGGCAAGTTCTAGAGAAACATTTCGGGAGCAAGCTGGACGGACTGCCTGGGAAGAAGGTGTGGCAGTGTGGTTCTGTTGGATCCAGTGGTAAAGAAGGCCTCCTTTGTCACGGGATAGCTGAGGTCAGACCTGAAGTGAGTGGGGAGTGAGCCATGTGGATATCTGGGGGAAAATAGTCCAAGCGGGAGTAACAGCAGGTGTGGAGGCCTTAAGGGAACTGTTCTTGTGTGTGAAATGAAGCAGCAGGCTAGTGGAAACACAGCAATGGGGGTGGTGGTGGCAATGGCAAGCTGGGGCAGTGGGGGCTGACAGCAGACGGGTCTTAGAGAGCCAGACTTGTTGAGACCTAGTGGTCTCAGACTTGTTGAGACCCACCTGATGGGAGGTGATGGCTTCTGGCTGAGCTCACACACAGGTGGCTCATCTAGAAACTTCTGGAGAAAATCTAGAGGCGCTAAATGAAGTTAAGAGATGTGCTAAGAGACCACAGCCACAATCCAGGCTGGAGATGCTGGTGTCTTTGGCCAGGATGGTGCAGTGGAGATGATGAGAGTCAGGTGGATTGTGAGCCAGTTTCCCAAGGGGAGCAAACAGTGTTTGCGGGTGGGTGGAACACAGGGCGTGAGAAAGATTAGAGGTGGTAGAATCTCTCCGAAGTCCTTCCCAGAGCCACACGGGGTGAACGCTTACCCTCAGTCCATTTGTCGGGTTTGCTACCTGTGAGCATCTGCTGTTGCTCATATCTTCACAAATTCTCCTCCATGAGTTGCCTCGGAGAAGCTGGGCTGATATCAAGAACGATCATTGTCTGCGGAGATCGAAAGCCAGACCTTGAGTGCAACAGTTTACCATGTCATGGTCAAAATAAAGGGCTCCTTCCCCCGGAGTTCCAAAACCTTGAGAGCCTGTAAGATAACTACAGAAGAGATAGGGACTGTGCTCTGTTGACTAAAAAGATGAGAGCCAATGAATCACCGGGATGATTTGTAAAGATTTATCTTTATTTTATGTGTATGTGTGAGTGCCTGCTTGCACATATATGTATTCCATGTGAGTGTGAGTGCCTGCTTGTGTGTACATGTATACTGTGTGTGCATGGTGCCTGCTTGTATATGTATATATGTATACTGTGTGTGCATGGTGCTCGGGAGACTAGTAGAATGCATCAGATCCCTGGAACTGGAGTTGTGAGTGGTTGCCAGCGGCTGTGTGGATGCTGGAAGCTGAACCTGGGCTTCTGTGAGAGCTGCAAACACTCCTAACTGCCGAGTCATCTTTCTAGCCCCCAGAAATCATTTCTGGCACAAGGGATGAAAGGCAGAGAAAAAGGACAATGTTCTAGTTTCCTTGTGTTTCTGTGACAAACACTGATGAAAAGCAACACGAGGAGGAAAGGAATTTATTTTTTATTACAAGTCACAGTCCATTATTGAGCGAAACCAGGGCAGGAACTTGCTTGCTGTTCCACTCAGAATTATTTCTAACCAGGGAATTTACTCACCGCCGTGAAAGTATATCAGAAACCACGGACAAATACTGCCTCATGATCTTTCTCACAGGTTGATGTTCAGCTAGCTTCCTTACAGAGCCCAGCTGGGACCACCTGTCCTGGGCTGGCACCTCCCACCGTGGGCTGGGCCCTCATGTATCAGTTGACAACCCACCCCAGACATACGCATAGGCTCATCTGACCCAGGAAGTACATCAGCCGAGGCTCCACTATCATGTGACTCCGGGCTGTGCTAAGTTGACGGTTGATGCTGACTAGGACACACCCTTTAATAGTGCAGTGGCCAGTTCCAAGCAGGATTCACCAGAAGGCAAGAGCACAGTGTCACTAAAGTCTGATTTACAGTGAGGGTGAAGGTTGTTCCCATCATCCTTTTGGGTCTCACATGTGAACAATCTATGCGACCTGTTTCGACCATCTGTAGAACTGTAACTGGGAAGTCTCTCCACATAGATTTGTGGGAGATCAGCTCCCACATTTTATGACAGGGAACTCTTGAGGAGAGAGGGATAAGAGGTTTAGATAGAAATATAGAGGGGAAAGAAACAGAAACACAGGATAGCTCGGGAGGGCTTGGATCCTAATTCACTGACCCTTTCTGTCTCTACTAAAGGGCCATTTATAGGAATGCCAAGGGGTGGAGCAAAAGACCTCCCCCTAGCTCAACCAAGTGCAGACCATTCCAATCACCTGGAAACCATGCACATGGTCAAGCAATCCTCTAGTGCAGCCCTGCTGGGTAAAGCAAGCTCAGCTCTCACTGGGAAATCTTTGTGGGCCCCCACATAGATTCTACAGGTCTGAGGAGAACAGAGTGACAAGGGTGCTGAGCTGTTTCCTGTGGTCAGGAGCTGAGATGTATTAGTCTTCCCACAGGTTGCTATAACAAAATAGTGCATGCCGGGGTGACCCAAACCACTGAAACTCATTTCTCACAGTTCTGAAGGCTGAAAGTGTAAAGCCAGGGTGCTGGGTGTCGGGGTTTCTTTTTGGGGAGATGCTCTTTTCTGACTTGTACACACCCTGTCATCCTGCTGTGTCTTTGCATGACTCTCTGTGTGTGTGTCTGTGTGTGTATGTGCCTGTATGTCTGTGCATGTGTGCATGTATATGTGTGTATGTGTCTGCATGTGTATGTATGTGTGTACATGTGTATGTGTGTGTGTGTGTGTGTGTGTGTGTGTGTGTGTGTGTGTGTGTGTACTTTACAGTGTCCCTTCCAGAAGACACCAGTGTTATTGGATTAGAGCTCCTTATCCTCATCAAATCTTACCTACCCTGCGGAAGTCTCTCCTGTATGTGTAATCCCATTAGGCTTTATGACTTCAACTGGGAATTTGGGGAGATAGTTTTGTTTGTAACAGTTAAATGCTGCAAATTAAAAAAAAAAAGCTTGCTTGAACTCTATACAGCTGCAAATAAATTAAACCACACACCTTTCAAAGTATACAATTCATGAGTTTATTTTTCTAAAATAGGGTCTCACTATGTGATCCTGACTGGCCTGGAACTCACTATGTAGACCAGGCTGGCCCCCAACCCACAGAGATCCACCTGCCTCTGCCTCCCGAGTGTTAGGATTAGAGGTGTGTGCCACCACACCTGGCCTCAACTCATAAGTTTTGATGAAGAATTTCATCGTGTGATGTACAATCACTATCATAATGTGATACAATCCAGTTCCACCAACCCAGTCCACGCTTCTTGGGGTCAGTTTATGACAAGAGTCACCAAGCACCCACTGATCTCTTCTCTTAGGTAGCGTGGCCTTTACTGGTCTTCCATCAACACCACACAGTGTCATGGAGTCAATTGAAACGCCAACCATAACTAGGCTCAAGCGTCTGGACATCTGGTTCCCTGACGGTGGCGCTGTTTGGGAGGGTGTGAACCAATAGAAGTTGAGGCCTAGTTAGCGGAAATGCATCACTTTGGGGAGGGGCCTGAGGTTGCATAACTTCGCCTTGTTTCCTGTCCTCGCCTTTGCTTCCTGTGCCCCTGACACGTGGGCATGCAGCCCCATGTTTCCTCTGACATGTCAGCATGCAGCCCTACGTTTCTGCTGCGACAGCATCTTCCTCATGGTGGCCTGTACATCACCTTCACACCACAAGCAGAAGAGGACTGGCCTTTTTCATTTGTTTCTTACCAGGTCTTCGGTAGTAAGAAAAGTAACGCATATCTGTGACCTTTTGTGGCTGCCCTGTTTCACGCAGTATGACAGCGAGTTTCATATATATTGATATAAGTGTCTGAAGTTTGTCATTTTATATCTTTAGTTTTTCATTTTATGGGCACACCACATTTATTTATTCCTTGGCTAATGGACCTTTGAGTTGTTTCTAGTTTGGGGCTAGTATTTAAAACTCTTCTGTGAATGCCCAGAGGGAAACCGTTGAACACAGATGACTAGAAGAAATGGCATGGTTCTGTGCTGAGTGTGCAGTATATTTAATAAGAAAATTAATGAAGCAGTTGTACCAGCACATGTAGCCACATGTAAGAGTATGGAACAAGTGTGGTTTAGCCACACTCGTGGGTATGTGGTGAGATATCCTTGTGGTTCATTTGCATTTTATTGATGACAGATGGTGAACAACAGTTTTTACTGTCCATTTTTACTTCTGATATTGTGAAGTTATTAAAATATTTTGTTCTATTTTTTAATTAAGTTGTCTATCTTCTGATTATCAACTTGAGTGTGTGTGTGTGTGTGTGTGAGAGAGAGAGAGAGAGAGAGAGAGCGCGCGCGCGTGTGTGTGCATGTCCATGTGTGCTTGTCTGTGTATGTGGTGTATGTGTGTGTCCACGTGTGCCTGTCTGTGTATGTGGTGTATGTGTGTGTGGCTACATGTGCCTGTTTGTGTGTGTGATATATGTGTGTGTCATGTGTGCCAGTCTGTGTGTGTCCATGTGTGTATGCCTCTGTGTGTGTGGTGTATGTATGTGTGTCTACATGTGCCAGTCTGGGTGTGTGGTGTATGTGTGTGTGTTCATGTACGCATGTCTCTGTGTGTGTGGTATTGGGGCTTGAGCCCAGGGTCTTGCTTATGCTGGACAACCTCTGTCCCACCACCCGTCTCCAATTCTGTGAGGTAGATATATCCTGGATGTCTTTTTCTCCCAGTCACTGGCTTCCCTCTTTCTTTTCTCAAAAACACTTTACAAGAACAGACTGCTAAACTTCTGTTGAACTCCAACACACACTTTTTTTTCCATTTGGTGGCACATTCCTTTTGCATTTTTTTTCCTAAGCAATCTTTGCCTACTCCACGTTTGTAAACATCTATGTTTACTTCTAGATGTTTTTAAGCCTTGGATTCTTTGCTTAATTCTGTGACCCATGTGGTTAATATTTGTGAACGGTATAAAGTGGGGGTCAGGGTTTTTATTTCTGTGCTGATTTTATTTCATTGCCTTGTGTACACAGCCATCCTAGCACCGTGGTGAAAAGACCCCACATTACCAGTTGGCTTCCACGGAACTGTTATTGAAACTGAGTGGATGCGCTGTCCGGTACCTGGACAGTATAGTGTTCCATCTGTCCACTTGTCCGTCATCACACTGGCTCTACCTCCTTTGTTCACCGTGACTGTCTATTCAGTCTTAAAAGCAGGCGTAATCTTTCCATGTTGTTTGCAGAACTCATTGAGTTATTGTAGACCTTTTGTATTTCTACCCAGATCTTAGAGTCATTTGGTCAGTTTCTAGACTGGAATGGCATTGAACAGAGCCAACAGTTTTTGGAGAACTGACGTCCCAGCAACATGGAGTCTGCCATGCAATTGAGTGGATCTGGATGAACTTGAGTTTCTCACACCTTTTGTTGATGTTTTAGCTTTTTCGGCAAGGAGAAATGTTTATGCTTCTCAATATGATCGTAAATGGCACTTCAAATGTCAAATTCCCAATTCCTCATTACTAGTATATAGAAAGCAGGTGACCTGTGTTCTGAGATTTGCTGAACTCACTTATTGGTTCTAGTGGTTGTTTTTTGAGGTCATTAGGGTTTTCTTTGCACACACGAGTGCTTGTGAACAGAGCTCTTCCTTGCCAGCCCGTGTGACTTTCTGTTCTTGCTTTAGTGTGGTGGTGGTGAGGGTCTCTAGTGTAGGTATGGGGTGATGCCCCCTGCGCTTTGTTATGGATATGAGAGGCACTGGATAATTTTCAGCTAAGAATGACACTGAGTTTTCTCCTTTCTTTCTTTTTTGATGCAGTGGATTGAACCCAGGGCCTTTCATAAATGGTTTATATGAGTACATGTAGATGTAACCAACCGTCTTATTAAATAAGAAACACAGAGCCGATTCAGAGAAGAAAGCCAAGAGGTTAGAACTAAGAGCCTTACCCTTGCTGCTTCAGCCAAGAGAGCTCTCTGAAAGGGGCCTACTTCCTGTGTGTTTGTCTTTATATAGTCTAGCTGTCCTGCCTTCTCATTGGTTGTAAACCCAAACACGTGACTGCCTCGTCACTGCCTGCATGTACAGCCCTCCAGGTCCTTAAAGGCGTGCGCCACGGCCGCCACGCACTTGCTATGGCTCTAATAGCTCTGACCCCCAGGCAACTTTATTTATTAACATACAATTAAAATCACATTGCAGTACAAGTAAAATACCACCCCAAGTACATATAGGGAATTGTCAGGTGCTTTCCCTACATTGATTCCACGCTGCTGTGTGTTTTTCATTTGTTCTAGTAAAGTGGTGAGTGACGTTGCTTCATGGTGATAACATATGCACAACTTAAAATCACCAGTTCAAAGTGTCTGGTGAAGCATGCTTCATTTCACGACGCCATGCAACTATACCCCCATCTAGTTCCAGCTCTTTAAGAATAAATCCCCCTGAAAGGAGACCCCATGCCCCTGAGGCGGCCATTCTCTGTGCTCCACCTCTCCAAACCCTGACCACTACCTGATTTATCTGTCCGAACTTGTCAGAACAGACTGGATGTCTTGCGCCCCCGGACCTCTGTGGCCTTCTGGCTGGCTCCTTTCGTTTAGTGTGCCTACAAGGCCCAAGTACGAACACAGGGTCATACCTGAGTCTGTGCCTCGGTTCACTATCGTTTTGTAATTAGTTTTATCAGGCTGGCCTTGAACTCATGACCCCTCTATCTTCTAAGCCTGGAGGCTACAGGTTTTTAAGAGTTTTGTAGTTTTAGCTCCCAAATTTAGTTTTTTTTTCTTTTTAATTTGATTTGATTTTTTTTTTTTTTTAAATCTCATACACTGTATCTTGATCATATTCATCCTTCTTCCTGGTTCTACCCCCTACCTCCTTATCCACCCAACTTTGCTCCTCCCCTCTCCCTACGTCACGCCAGTTTGTATTGTGCATGTATCCTTGGATGAGTGACCTCCCACTGGAGCATGGTTGGCTTACCGGGAACGACACTCTCAGAGAAAACCCACTCTCCTCTCCCAGCAGCTCACCGTTGCCGATAGCTTCAAGGCTAAGGGTGGAATTTCGTGCCTACCTCCCCTCTCTGCGCTGAGATTTGGTCTGGTTTGTGCTTGCACAGGTCTCGTGCATGCTGTCACAGCAGCTGTGAGGTCACACGCGTCACTGTTGTGCTGTGTCCAGAGGACACTGTTTCCTTGTCATCATCCAAAGATAACTCCCATGTCACACATGCTCTGATGTGTCCCCTTCATCTCAATACTCTATAGAGTGCTCTCTCTCTCTCTCTCTCTCTCTGTGCGTGTGTGTGTGTGTGTGTGTGTGTGTGTGTGTGTGTGTGTGTGTGTGTGTTTAAGCTAATGTTTATGCTGGGATTGTACAGGAATATCCTTTCAGCCAAACAATTGCTGTCTTGGGGAGTTCGGCTGTGCCCACTTGCAAACGAGCTCCCAGCTGGGCTGGTTGACTGTTTACATCTCCTCCTAAGGGGGCAGGCAGGGTCACAGGACCTTCACCTGTGAGCTCCTACTACCTCTTGTATGCAACGCTGTCCTAACTGCACTGGCCTTGGGGAGTGGCTAGAATATATATATATATATATATATATATATATATATATATATATATATATATATATATATATATATATATATATATATACACACACACTGGGGAAGACCAGAGGAGGCAGGCTTTATCTATGCGGCTATAGGAAAGTTGGTATCCCTGTTAGGTAAACTTTCTGGTGTGAGCTTTTGCAAGGGAGCACCCACATTCCTGTAAATAACCCCTCACTTAAATGTTTTATAAGTAAGCCCTGTAAACTCATTGGCTCCCCAGAGTAAACTTTGGTGGAATTGTACCTTGGTTCAAGGAGAGGTAGGTGCTGCTTATGACTTCCCTGGAAAGGAACATAGTGAGGAGAGGTAGGTGGCTCTTGTGACTTCCCTGGGAAAGATCAGTGGTAACAGCCGGTGATTTAAATATGAGTAGATTCACTGATGTGAAGGCGTTGAGATCTCAGTGAGAAGAAGTGCGTTGTGCACAGCACTGGCCATATTTCTTTGTTAAAGGCTTATGTGGGGTTTCACTTCTAAAAGTGGGTGACTCCATGCTTAGAGAAAGCAAACAATTAACCACGCCAGGTGGGAGTTCAGGTCAATGGTACGCAGACAAGAGGTGCTGACAAATTTCCTATCCGAAGACACAAACACAAGAGCAGCCTAGAGAAATACGGCATGCAATGTTCAAAACTGTTGCTAATGAGCGTTTCCCACATGGTGGCAAATTTATACCGTCTCTCCTTCACCTAACTCCCCAGGCCTCTTTTTTTTTTTTAACCAAACTTTATTGTTCCTAAAACACAGTGGACTGGTCTTCCTAGGTTTGAATGATTTGTAGTAAGAAACATGAAATCAAGTGCCCTACTGGGAATGCATTGCTATTGCGAACATCAATACCATATTGACATCTGTGGGTAAACCAGTCCTCCTCAGACACACTTCCAGAGGTCAGGAAGCGTGATTGGAGACCCTCCAAATCTACCACATTCTCACCCTTCAGCTGATAGTGTTCTATGGCAATCCTCTGTGAAACGAAGCTTCAGTCTCGAGTACAAGTTGTGTCTTAGAAAATCAAATATCACACGTGAAGATTTTTGCTACGCCCTCCGCTTTTATTTGTGATATCTTACCTTGTGTATGGAAGTGGTTTTCAAAGCGTGATCCTGAGTAAGTGGCAGTCCCATCGCCGAGGAAGGAGTTAGAAACCCACATTCTCTGGCCTTGCAATCTGTGTTTTAGCAGATCACCCACTCTGACGGATGCTAAAGTTTGGTTGTCACTGGTTGGGGGAACCATGTGACTTACGCTATTTCTGTTCATGATATGAAGAAGTTATCAGTCAGGCCCCCAGCTACTGTTGCCTTGGAGACGTTTAATGATATAACAGCCGAAGTGCCATGCTGCAGAGCAAATGTCAAATTCCAAAAGGAAGACACTTCCTGTCAGAAGGCTTCTAGAACTGCCCCCAGCAGCCAAAGCAAGAGGACTAAGACACAGGATCCACAGGAGGTGCTAAGGCAGGGCCCCTGGGCTGAGCTGCAGCCTTGAGGCCCCTGGAACTGGTCATGAAGTGAAATTCCAAGGGTTTAAAAGCAGTTCTTGCAGCAAAAGTCTCCAAGGCTGACCTTAGCAATCCAAACAGGAAGCAAGAAACTAACATCCCTGGGTGTGCCTGGTTGTAGGGAAGCCCAAGGAAGTCTTGGCAAAGAGATGTCTTTCTGATTCTCTCAGGGAAAGGGTGGGCCAGGCACTTGTTGGTTGACAAGGAGTACCTGGAGACTGACATGCCTAGCTGCCCTCTTCTGGTCTTTGAAACAATACCGGGGAGGTGGAGGGGTGGCTCTGTGGTTAAGATCACTGGCTGCTCTTCCAGAGGACCCAGGCCAGGTTCAATTCCCAGCACCCACATGGCAGCTCACAGTCTGCAACTCAAGTTCCAGTGGATCCAACTCCCACGCAAAGACATGCATATACCATCAAACACCAATGTATATAAAAATAATAAAAAAGAAGAATTTATAAAACAATGGTGAATGTTTTTCCTCCCTAGTTGTAAATTCTCCAGGCCCAGCAGTAGACACAAAAGACCTTCTTGATGTCTTGTCTCATATTCTAGTCCTGTTCTGGGGACAAATGTCAGCTCTGGTGTTGAGTAGATATTTTCTGGTTTCTAGACTCAAACTTCTGAGCCCCACAAAATTGCAAATCCAGGGGAAGCGCATGCGTGCGTGCGTGCGTGCGTGCGTGCGTGCGTGTGTGTGTGTATACAGGGGACGTGCCCACTGTGTGTACAGGGGAAGTGCCCACTGTGTGTACAGGGGAAGCGCCCACTGTATACACAGGGGAAGCGCCCACTGTATACACAGGGGAAGCGCCCACTGTATGCACAGGGGAAGTGTCCGCTGTGTGTACAGGTGTCGTTTCTTACAGGATTACTCGGCATTCTCACATGCACTTTGTCCTGGCCATCTTAGCTGGTGAATTTTGCAGTTGTTTTCGAGAACACAGGCTCCTTGGCCCCTCGTCTAATCAGACACCAGATCCCAGGAATCCAGCCACAATAAGATCTGTCAAATCCCTTGCCCCCTTTACTTCTAGTCTCACAAATCCATCTATTCCACATTATTGTTTGAGCTCAGTGTGCTAAGACTGTCTCAACAAGATACCAGAGACTGGGTGGTCTATACAACAGGAATACACTTTTTCACAAATCAGGAGTCTAGAACTCCCAGGTCAGGGTGCAAGCATGGGGGGAGTCTGGCCAGGCTCCCCTGTTGGCCTTAGACACTGCCTTCCCTGTATGAACTGTCAGGCTCCTTCCGAGATGTGTGTGAGCAGTGCTGGGGTCCCGTTTTCTTAAAAGAACAGCAGTCTTAGTGGGTTAGGCCCCCCACTTTTATGACCTCTTTTAACCTTATTACCCCCATTAAAGGTAATTAATTCAGTCATTATCATCTTGGGGGTAGGGTTTCAGCTCCCCCGTCTAGGATGTAATTCAGTCTGTAAAGATCCTACTACCCCATGTCTGAATTAGTCTAACTCCTCACCGACCTCACTCCCAGCTCCCTTCAGGCCAGTCAGTGAACATGCAGCCATTTTTTCCATGGGCAAATAGCCCTTGAGTTTTACTGAGAACCAGAGTGATTCTCATGCTTAGGATGGAGCCAAGCTCTGTGGCCTGGCATTTGGTTCCTTGGTAACAATAGTGTAATAATAATAATACTACATTATTATTAGTGTCACTAACACAAACTAAGACACATAACACATGACAACACCAAATAATACCAAACACCACCATAATACATTTTAGAAACCCCTGTGTAATCCATTGTGATGCATAGTGGTTTTACCACAAGTTATAAATATATATTAACATATATATATATGTATATATAATTCTTTATTGAGTCTTTGGGAATTTTACATCATGAACTCAATCCTACTCACCTCCCAGACCCTCTACATCTGCCCCTCACCCCTGAAGCATGCTCCTCCAAAAGACACCCCTCAATAAATTAAAAATAAACAAAAAACCCCACCTCACTCCTCCATCTTTCCAACACTTCATTCATCCCGCGGCATCAGGAGCTGCGATGTGTCACACACTAGACCCTTTTGTCCAATCAGCCCCACCCACAAAATATTCATTGCAGCGAGTCATTGGTCTGGTTCAAGGCCTCTGGCACACCATCATCACTGGACCCTCACTGAAACACCTCTCAGATGTCCTACTGTTACCCTAGTCATGGAGATCTACAGTTATCGTTCTGGGGACCAGTCCCTTTGTGCACTCCAGCAGGTCATAGATGGGGTAGATGTTAGGGTGGGCCAACCCAAGGCCCAGGATGTGGGTCTGGGTGGTAGCTGAATTGGTTGGTCCAGGCCACTGGGACCACCCCCTCAGGTGAGAGGCAGAGTCAACTCTCCTAGGCCCATGCCTTTGGGGGACAGTGCTCCCCTGCCCTTGGTGAGGGATGGGGCCATCTCTACCAAGTGTGTATGTGGAGGGGAGCCAGCTTTCCCGTGGGGGACAGGGCCAGTTTTCCTGCTGCAATGTCCAGTGAGGGGCAGGGTCAGCTGTCCCAAGACCAGTGAGGGGTGGGGTGGCTCAGCAAGACCCTTGGATTTCAACACACATGGTTCCTATGACCCTCTACCATAAGGCATTTAAGTCACCTCTTTTTATTGTTCTTCAAGTATTCAGAGAATGTTCCCACCCCTAGGTCTTCATGGAGGTCTTCTGTAGTGCCTTCTTTTTCCAGTTATTCATCCTGCCCCTTCTTTGGGGAACTACACCCTTACCTTCTCGGTGACATCTTCCAGGTCTCCGCCTCCCAAACGCACCTCTCTCTCTGGGTTAGGATTTTTATCTCATAGCAAGTATGAACACACTTATGTATACAGATCTTGATTCCTTCCTGGATGTACTTTTTCATCTCTCTCATGGTGCCCTGTGTCCTGGTGGTCCTCAGGGTCCTCAGTGTGTAGATGGGAAGATGAAAAAGGAGTGAAGGAAAACCTTATTTGATAAAGTTTTCTGATAATCGTAGCCTAAACGTCCTCTCTGCTGAGAAAATGTCTGTAACCCTACCCCGAATCCATCACTCCAACTTTATGTATTTAGTTGCTTATTTATAGTCAGGGTCTTACTGCGTAGCTCTAGCTGGTCTGAAAGTCACTGTGGAGACCCAGCCAGCCTTGAATTTGTAGCCATGTTCTGCCTCTGCATCCTCAGTGCTGGGATTTTAGGCATGTGCCAGCATGTTGGGCCTCTTTAACATGTCAATGCTCTTAAATACCTTCACCACTCCCAGAGAATTTATTGCTTATCTTTCTAATCTTCCACCCCACGTAGTCTAAATTGGTGGAAATTGAGATTGTTTCCTTCTAACTCCCTGGTGCAGAGTTGGCATTTGATACATAGTAGGCTGTCAGTAAATATTTGCTGAATATGATGGTATGTTTTGGAGTAAATGGCGCACTTCTCAAAATGTGCATCCTGGCAGGGGAGGGCTTACTTAGAAACCTGGACCTTCTTGTTTGCTTACTGTTTTCTGCCTCTGTGTTTTCAAACAGAGTCTCACTCTGTAGCCCAGGATAGCCTGGAATTTACTATGTAGCCTTGGCTGGCCTTGAATTTATCCCAGTTCACTTGCCTCAGGCACCTCCGGTGCGGGGATTAAGCCACCACACTTGATGTGCTGATCAGTTTTTTGTCAACCTGACACAGGCTAAAGTTATCTGCAAAGAGGGAACCTCAACTGAGAAAATGCTTCCATCAGAAAGGCCTGTAGGCAAGTCTATGGGACATTTTCTTGAGTAATGCTTGATGTAGGAGGGTCCAATCCACGGTGGGCGGTGCCATCCCTGGTAGGTGGTCCTGAGTTGTTTTAAGAAAGCAGATTGAACAAGCCATGGGGAGTAAGGCAGTAAGTGGTGTTCCTCCATGGTCTCTGCTTCAGTTCCTGTCTCCAGGTTCCTGTCTTGAGGTCCTGCCCTGACTTCTCTTGACAATTGTCAGTAGCTGGGATTGGTAAGAGGGAATAAACCCTTTCCTCTCCAAGATGTTTTTGGTCATGATGTTTCACACAGCAAAGGAAAACAAATTAGGACATCTGAACAAACCTGGACTTTTAAACTTTGCCCACCGGGTATTTAGGAAATCTTAGGCTTATGTGGATTGCACATACACAAATATGCATTGCAACTTGCTTTATATATTGTGTATACCGAAAACTTTTTATGTGGATTTAAAATACTTACCTGGATCTGGAAAGTCTAAAATCTCAAGGACTGTATGTGAATATTCAAGGAGCCGTGTTGAATGAAAGCCAACACTCAATCACTTGGCAAATGGTATTGTTAGCTAGACAATAGACAATTTATTTTCTCGATGTAGATTTTCACATAGGGTGGTTCTGTGAAGGAAGCAACTTCTACATAGAAGGGCAGTTTCAACACTTGCCATTTTCTGTCTCCTTCTCCCTTGGGTTCATCATCCTTGGCTCAGGAGTTACTGTCTAGTTGTCCTGTGTGTTCATGGCCTCTAGCTCCCTCAAAGTTAGATGTTCCTCTGTACCTTTGTTCGTACGACTCCTCTGATTAGTAAGCCGCCCTAGTCAGGGTCCAGCTAGCATTCCTCTTTCTCTAGAAAGCCTTTCCCAATTATCTTAATGACCAGAAAAGAACTGACAGTTCATTTTGTTGCTCTTATGCATTTCTGTTATTTCTTGTAAGTCCTAAATTCCTAGCTACTCTGGAAGCTTCTCTGTGGAGTGGGCTCTACCCTGAGTTTCATTTGAATATCTTTTTATGTCTTGGACATTTCTGTGAAATATATTTGCAAGACATTTGGAAAAGGATGTTCCATCCTTCGTAGCTTGATTGCTTGGGCCCAAGAGAACCTGGGGACAAAGAGCTAAGGGATTCTAGAATTCTCCCTGGGAGCTGGTCCAGCCCTTTCCTTGTGATTTTCTTGTGAATGGGAAGCACAGATCACTTTCATACCATGCAGATAAGGACCCAGTGCTCAATGCCCTGCAGGTTTGGTGATGTTGACCTAAAGAAGTCAGAGATGTTAGCTGACTTTCCTTCTATATCTTGTTTGTTTTCCATTTCTACAATTGGCAAGAAAGATCTGTCCTATGGGCCAAATCCTTTCCTTAATTTCATTTGGTCTTTGGCAAAAAAAAA